CCCCCCCCCCCCCCCCCCCTCAGGCCTGAAAGTGCTGGCCACTGTGGCCGCAGTCAGCCGGGCAGCTTGGGCAGCAGCGGCCAGGGCCTTCCACTGTCTGACCTGTGCTCCCGAGGAGGGAGAGCACCCGACCACACCCGCCTCCATCACAGCTCACGCCTCTCCTCCTCGTCCACCACGGTGGCTGTCCCCGCCTCAAGCCACTTTGGGTACAAGAACTTCCATATGATTTTTCAATTGTTGCCCATTCCAGAGTTAGGGTGTTCTGGCTCTCAAATTCCCAAAAGCAGTTGGCAAATGGGATGCGTCCAGAAGGAAAATAGACTGGAGTTCAAGGGCCGTGCGGGCCTCAAGCCGAGAGACCGGTCTTCCTCACCTGCTGGTCCACTGAGCGCCTCACCCAAGGAGGAGACTGTCTCCTGGTGAAATTAAATCTGCAACCTGTCTACCAACAATTCACACAAATAAAAAAAATTAAAAGAGAAAAAAGAAAAAAAAAAAACCCAAACAAAACCGCTTGCAGCTTTTCCCCCTCGGTCCAGGGCAGTGGTCTCCATCAGGCCCAGCTAGGTCAGATTACCTCCATCTTCCAGTCACTTTTCTCCTTCAGTCCTGTTCTCTCAAGAAAGCTCTGGATGACAAGCTACACCCCCAAAAGAAACGGGCTTAGAAAACACTTCCCAAATGTTTCCCAAAGTGAAACCAAGGTGGCTGCAGGCCTGGTGGCACGGAAGGCAGGATCTACCCAGAAAAACGCACTTAAATCCAATTAAAAAAAAGGAAGGGGAGGTTCTAGGTCTCACTTCTCATCCAGCCTGTTTGTACTGCTTCTCAGAAAGGGCCACTGAGGGCTTGGGAGCAGCTGACTTTTGGACACAGGGCCGGCTTCACTCGCCCACAAAGCATGCCTCTCAGCCTTTTCCTTTCCACTCTGGAAAAGCACTGCTCTATCTTCATCCAAGAGCTGGTAGATTTGGTTTTTTCTTTGGAACCATCAATAAGAAGAAGCAACCTTTTCCTGCTGGTTTACTCGTGTTTACCTATCAGAGCGGCAATTCTTGACAGTTGAGCAGCACACAGGCTGACTCGGCCAAATGGACTATGAATGCATGCATTCGGACTGCATACTGCTACCAAAATGGAATGTGGGGATATGCTATGCACCTCAGTTGAGAAATGACCAAGAAATCAAGATCTAAAGGGTGATATATAATATATATATATCAATGCTATTATTCATAAAAACCTTGTTTAGTAATAAAAAAAATTGCTTTGTTTAAATATGAATATCAGAGTCTGCTTCTCATGGTTAGGAAATAACAGTCCTTCTGGAAGGCAGGCACCCTTTCCACTACAATTCCATGTCCTGGGCCTCGTCCTCAGAAAAGTCAGACATGGAGCTCTCTGAGGAGCTGTCGCCGGTGCCCTCTTCCTGCTCCTTCAGGGCCTCCTCCGTTGCGTACTTCTGGATGTACTCTGCACGGGGAGGGGGGAAGAAAGCACAGGCTGAGTTCAGCGAGCCCAGGGCACACGCACCTGCTAGGCTGGGGTAAGATGTGACAGGATTACCAAAGCCAAGGGGGATTCCACAGAGGAAGTGGCTTGTGTGGGATGCAATGGGCGGCCCAGTTTTTACCTCCCCTGTGAGGAAAGTGGTCTACCTCCAGAGCAGGAATGACGCCTGCACAGCCTCCTCTGAGCTGCAGCCCAGTAACCCAGCTAGCCCGGGTCTGTACTGGAGAACAAGACACAGATCCCGAGCACAGGTGTGGAAGCAGACGGCACTAATGGTCTCACCCTGCTGTGTGCTGGCTCTCCCGTGCACTGTTCACCCCTAGATCTAAGCCTCAGGAGCCCAGGCCAAAGTGCCGGCTGAGGAGGAGTACAAGAAGGGAGCTGCCACACACACTCTGGATGGGCGTCCTCAGGCTGCGTCTTCTTCTATGGAGCCATTGGAGCTGCCATGACAAGGTCGGCAACACGACCACGCAGCCTGCTGATGCCCGAAAACCAGCACAGCATCTAGGCAGGAGTACTTCCCTACCTTCCTTCCTTTAGTGTTGTCAGGCAGTGGTGAAGCCCTGGCTAAGATGAGCCTTGCTGCGAGCTTCCTGCCTCTGTGTGTCCAGTGCTCAGACGACAGGTGTGTGTTACCATACCGAACCATATTTTCTTCTGAACAAAGTTTGTAGACTGAGACTTAGAGCCCTTTGAACCATAACAAATCTACTTAAGTTTTTCTGTTTTGTTTTCCTGGGGGCTGGAGAGACCAGTTAGAGGTTAGGAGCACTGGCTGCTCTTCCTGAGTCCAACTCCCAGCACACACAGGGTGGCTCCCAACCATCTATAGTGGGATCTTGTGCCCTCTTCTGGCATGCAGGCAGAACACTGCATAAATAATAAGTAAATCTTACTACACTCAAGGCTGGTTTTAACTTGATTTGAAGCTAAGGGATGACCTTGAACGTCTCAATCTTTCTGTTTCCACCACCTCTCAAGTGCTGAGATTATAGGATGTACTACCATGTGTAGAGGAGTTTTAATTCAGAATGTGACTGCTCTGAATTCATCACATCCAAAGACCTAGGTCTCTGTGATCTGTCTGAAATGCAATATGCCTTTAATCCAGCAGACCTGAGTTCAAGGACAGCCTGAACTGATGCGAAGTTCCAGGTAAAGAAAAGCTTAGGCATGGTGGCACCGGCCTTCAACCCCAAACAAGGAAGGCAAAGTTAGGTTGCAGAAGGGAGCCCCATGTCTTCACCTGGGTGGCAGAGACAGTGACAAATCAGAGAAGATCTGACAGGAAGGGAAGCTACTTTAGGGACAATGCAGAGAGAAAGAGAGAGACAGAGACAGACAGGCTAGACACAGGTGAAGGCTAAGAACAAGCCAGAGAATGAGAAGGTGGCAGCCCAGAGCTCAGTAAGAACAGAGAGGGTGATATTCAGCAGTAAGTCTCAGAGGCTAAAAACATTCTAGGCCTAGGTTAGATTGTAACAGAGCCAGAAGTGCCCAGGACTAGGCCTAGGTTGTTTTTTTTGAGACAGGATTTCTCTATGTACACCTGGCAGTCCTCCAACCCAAGATATTCCCCGGCCTCTCCCTCCTGAGTGCTGGCTGAGGCGTGTACCAGCAACAGCTTTGAGCAGGTGGACCTATCTTTAGCCAATGCCAAGGATGCCCACGCCCACAGGCCGCTTAGTATGCAACCTTGCTTACACACCTGCATTACATTTTTTTAAATGATGTGGATATGGGTATGTCTGTGTCTGAAGCTTTAGATGATCTTTCACAATTTTTAAAATCCAACTCCAGCCCAGTATGCAGGTGGGGCCAAGTGTGGGAAAGCAGAATCTAAACCCTATGAGGGAGTCAATGGGGCCCTGCCACTGCAGCCTCTTTTTAGACTAGAGAAAACGACAAGGAACTATGTTAAAGGTTGGTCTGATGCCTGTTACTGGCCCTCAAGATCTGGTTACAGCCATCCTTGCTGTAAACCTGCCTAAGACATACCTGACTGGTTGATTAAATGGCCTACACCTGGGCAGGGCAGGACAGGGTAGGTGTGGCTAAGGTTTCCAGGCTTCTGAGACAGGGACACAGCCAGAGAAGAGAGGAGGAAGGAGGACACCCCAGTGCATTAGTGTGGAGAAACAGCCACGGTGTCTGGGAGGAAGGACTCCAACAATGGGGTGGAAAGGCCCAGATGAAGAGTGTAAGCAAGTAGGGTAGGACCAGATGAGGAGGATTAAGGCAGATGGGCATTGGATGGGGGGCTGGGAGATGGATGGTGAGGATATTGAAACAAGAGTAGGTAAAGTATCTGCCTAGCCGAAGGTAAAATAGGCAATTATAAATCTAACAAGTGTCTGTGTCTTGTTATGTGTGATAGTGGGTTAGATAAGACTGCCATGAAATCTTAGGGATAATAATAAACATTACATAGCCCAACCCTTATTTTTTATTTACAGCAGCGGGACTTCGTATCTTACACAGGCTTTAAGCTGGGCATTGGTGGCACACACTTTTAATCTCCTACTTGGGAAGCAGAGGCAGGCTGATCTCTAAGTTTGAGGCCAGCCTTGGCTCCAGAGTGAGTTCCAGGACAGACAGGGTTACAAAGAAAAACCCTGCTTGGCAAAACAAAACAACAACCAAAAAGACTTTAAATGGCCAACTAAAAGCACATCCCAGCTTACCTTTAATTTTCTGCTTGTACTCTTCTGGTCGGTGGAGGTACATGGCTGCAGCATCGCCATTCAGAGGGTCTATAGGGTTAGGATAGGCCAGCAACTGGGGCAGGAAGGACTCAAATATATTGGTAAGATCTGAAAGAACAAACAAACACTTCATGCACGGGGCATACAACGTCACATGGAGTTCAGCAGGCAAGAATGCCTACTCCACTCTTAAATAACTTTTTAAAAAAAGTTTTCCAGACAGGGTTTCTCTGTGTAGCCTCTGTGTCCTGGACTCGCTTTGTCCCTGCCTCTGCTGGGACTACAGCATGCCCACCTGCACTTAAAGCGTGTAGGTGTTTAGGCCGTCTGAATCTGCATCAAGTGCCCTGAAGCCTGGGGGTGCGGGGCCACACCCCCACAAGAGCAGTACACACTCTTAGCCACAGGCTTCTCTTTCTACTCCCCCAGTACCCCACCCCCTCCTACTTACCTGCTTAAATACGTAACTACTGTGGATTACGTATGCTCCGCTATAACATACTTGTTTCAACATCAACTACATTTTAAAATTTAAACTTAAGGAACCAGGTCAGGATATACATTCTTGTTCTCTTTGGAGGGCAATTTTCCCAGCCTTTACCTACAACCCCAGTTTCCCTTTTTTGTATTGCTGAGAGTTTGAATTCAGTCTTGGGAGGCTAGTATGAGCACAGCTGTTTTCCCAATTCTATTTCACTCCATTTCCCAAACTGAGATTCTAGAAACACACACTATTTATTGAAAATCATGCCCCAATAAGCTACTGCAAACCAAGCTACTGTAACTTCTTAAAATGTAGCATTCCGGGTGTGCATGAGGGCTCCGAGGCCAGCGCCTTGGCAGAGTGCTCAAGACCACACTCTGTGGAGCTGGTTCTCGCCTCCACTGTCACCTGGGTTCTGGGGACTGAGCTCAGGAAGCCAAGTGTGCCCGGCAAACAGCTCACCCACACCGCGCCTTCTTACCAGCTCAAAGTGAGTTAACTTCCTGCAGGCTTTCATTTTTGTGGCTGTTTTGTCTGCCTGTCTGTATGGCATGTGTGCAGTGCTCACAGCTACCAGAAGAGGGCAGCAGTTCCCACTAGCAGTGGAGCCTGTATGGGTGCTGGGAACTGAACCTCGCTCCTCTGAGTAATTCCTCACAGCAGCCAATTTTATGATGTTCTAGTCCTCTGCTGTACATCACTGTTGCTGTCTGTGACAGGGTCTCTCACAGCTCAGGCTGGCCACAAGCTTGGCCAGAGGGTGCCCTTACATTCCTGCTTTACCCCCCAAGCCGCAGGAACACAGGCAATCCCAGTGTTCAGGGGGTGAGGCGGGAGGACTGGCTGGAGGATGAAGCCAGCCTGGCAATTCACTGAAATCTTGTTTTGGAAAGTGGAAAAAAAGTTTTTTTTTTTTTAAAAAAAGAGAATTTGGTATTTAATGTTTTGTTCCCCAAGCCCCTTGTCAAGATCTCATTAAGTATCTAAGCTGGCTTTGAACTCATGATCCTCCCGAGGGCTGGGATTATAAGAATGGGCTGGTATTAACGTCTACTGGATGCAGAGATAATCCAGTTCTTCAATTATGCAAGATAAGAAGGGCAGAAACCTATACAAACCACTTATAGATAACAGTAAGACTATAAGAACCTGGGGCTGGAGCGGCGGCTCAGAGGTTAAGAGCACTGGCTGCTCTTCCAGAGGACCTCAGTTAATTCCCAGCACCCACATGGTGGCTCACAAGCATCTATAGTGAGCTCTGGTGCCCTCTCCTGGTGTGTAAGCACACATGCAGGCAGAAATACTATAGACAGACAGACATATAAGCAACTAACTGCTCGTATTAACTCGTCTTACTGGACATACACAGATCTCTGTATACGGCAATCACCCCAAGTTCACAAAGGAAGCATGAAAACTGTATAAGGAAGGAATCTCTTGTGTCTGTATGTAAAAACCTTTAGCCTACAGGTGAAGCGGGAGACACAAGGCAGGACATCCCGGCAGGCAGGAGGGAGTCTGAGACAGGCCCTGTGCTCGGGATTCAGAAGGCAAAGTGTGAGGAGGACAGACGCACCATACCTGGGCTCAGGCAATCAGCCATGTGGCACAATGAAGATTGGAAAAATGGGTTATTTTGAGTTATGAGCTAGTCAGAGAAGAGCCTAGCTGGATGGCCTAGGTATCTGTAAAATTACTTTGAGTCTCATGGGTCATCATTCTGGGAGTTTAGGGATGGGAGGAGAACCCCACAGAAAACCTGGGTATGACCCAGTCCCCACTTCCCTAACCCAGAGGTGACGAAATCCCACCCTCAGCACACGTCAGACCTCTTCTTCCTACTTCCCCACTCTGCGCTGCTGTCCTTACTGTTGCTGTTTCTCCAATGGCTGCCTGTGCACTGGCACTGATGGAGGCTTCCCGACTCCCACTACCTGGGCTCTGTGGATACCCAGGGAACTGAGCAGCATAAGGAAATATTTTGGTCACCACAGGTTGGGATGCTGACATCTATTGGGTAGGAGCAGGGATGCTATGGAAATGTTTTACAATGCACAGGATCACTCACTACAAAAAACTGCCAGCAACAAAATGACACTTACGGCGAGGTTGAGAAAACCCACGTCAGCCGTAAAAAAGGGGCCGTCAGAGCTTTCATAAAAGACTGGAATACAAACTTCAGCTCTTGTGGCCAACAAAGGTGTCTGTTCTGTCCAGCTCTGCAGCTGTGGCCCCGAGGAGCCAAAGCTAACAATACCAAGAGGCGTGGCTGTCTCCGGGGAAGCTCTGGATACAAACTGTTCCACCTGCTCTAGAAACGCCCCCGAAACAAGGCTGCAGGGGCAGAGGGCTCCCTGAGCACGCCCATGGCCCTCGATTCATCCCCACAAAGAACTCAACACCACAGCCGGACGCACCGGCACTGTGATCCCAGCACTCTGGAGGCAGAGGCAGGTGGATCTCTTGTGTTTGAGGTCAGCCTGGTCTACAGAGTGAGTTCCAGGACAACAAGGCTACACAGAGAAACCCTGTCTGGAAAAAAGTAAACAAGAACAAAAATAATAACAAAAAATTTAACACCATAAATGAAGAAAACCTTTCAGACTGTAGGTTCTTCCTGCTCACTTCCTGGAATATTCTAGAGTTGTGCTTCTCTACAGAACATTCTGCAGAGATAAAAATGTCCCTTCTTTGTACTGTTCAAAACAGCTGCTCCGTGTCAAGGATCCGATAAGCACCTGATACGTCAGAGAAAACCAGGAAGTAAGCCTCCCGGTCTACTTAAGTCTAACCGAAACCCTCAAACGTGGGCCGTGGATCCTGTACTAGAGTCCCTGGGCAGGGTGCTCAATCTGTTTTCCCCCAATAGCTCCATCAGAATGAAGGAATGCCTCGGAGGTTTCCCACGGGACCAAAGTACAATAAAGTCCCATACCAGGACACAAGTGTTAAAATTTTAACACGAGGCCAAAACAAAACAATTTCCCTTAAGAATTTCATCTTGCTGTGTGCCCAAGCTGGCCCCAAACTCTCAATCCTCCTGCCTCAGCAGCCCCGAGATGCTGGTATTACAGGCGTGAGCAACCACACCGTTTTGTCAGGACACTTTGAGCTTTGCTGAGTACCTGGCTGAAACCAGAGGTGCTTACACCAAGTCCTTCCCACACACAACGACACTGGAGACAGAGGTTACAGACCTTGCCCAAGAGACTGCATTCCAAACAGGGGCCCATCGACCACGCTGCCTGCCAAGGGGTTCAGACATGGCGCCTGGCTTTGGCGGGGAGGCAAGCTCCAAGCAGCCACACTGCATGGTCTGGCGTCTCTCCGCAGGGGGCGCAGGCCGCCTCTGCTGCCCAGCACAGGGCACAGCCCATGCTGCTCACTAGAGCTGACGATGGCAGTGACTACTGACCGCTCCCACCAGACTACAAAACACTGAAACACAAAACGCAGGCTTCGTCCCTTTGACCGGCTGCCTGGGCTCCAGGAAGCGCATAACCTTTCCGACCATTTTTAAGTGTCCTCAAGCTACCAATAGGTAGCTTTACCAAAGTGTTGGCTCCAAACAAACAAAAGAACCCTTAATTACTGATTCTTGCTTCCTGTTCTACCCTCTTCCTGTGTTAACACACTCTGATCCATTGTTACAGTGTGCTGAGTCACACCTGTAATCAGAAAAGAAACACGGGGAGGGTTCGGGCAGCTCTGGGGGGAGGTGATGCAGCGGCTGGCACCAGAGCTCCCGGGCTCACAGGGCCACAGTGACAACCAGGCAGGCATCCCTGATTCGCTCTGCATGTGAGGTTGTGTAGACTCTTCTTTCACAAGTGTGGGATGGAACTCAGGAACAGAGCACTTGCAAGGCCCTGGGTACCACAGACAAAAGCACTGGCAAAGACGACCCAAACTACTAACCAAGAATTAGCTACAGTCATTCTAGGAAAAATTCACAACCAACTCTGTTTTACCGCTGGTTTTTTAGGACAGGGTCTGACTTTGTAGACCAGTTTGGCTCCAAACGCTTGGTGATCCTCCTGCCTTGGCCTCCTGAAGGCTGAGGGTATAGGTACCCTCCTAATGAACCTCTTCCCCAGAATCTCTTTTCCAAGTATTAGGTCAAAAACCAGAGGTCTTGGCACACACGCACCTGCTGCTCTTCCCTACAACTTTTTTCCCTCCTTAGCCCTGACTGGCCGGGAACCCCCAGAGACCTGCCTGTCTCTGCCTCAAGAGTAATGGGGATTAAAGGCATGTGCTGTCACGCCTGGCTCCTCACACCCCCTCAACCGCCTTTTCCTGCACACTGTGGCAGCTACCTTCTCCGGTGGGGGCATGCCAAAACACAGGCAAGTGGTGAGTCTATTTCAGGGCCTTAGGGGCTGCCTCAGGGTAAGCAGGGGCAACCATCACCAAAGGCACTGTGGACATTTGGCTGTGCAAACCCCATTAGGCTGCACTACCTTCAGCAAAAGGGAGACGTGCTCCCCAACAGTGAACAGCGTTTGAAAACCTCAAGTCTAATCTCAGATCCCTCCTCTCTGCACCTCAACCTGTTCACCTGTAAAAAGAGAAGTGTAACACTGCTGTTCTCATTCCGGTCCTTTTTTTTTTTTTTTTTAAA